GAGGCAGAAAATCTTCGGAAGTAAGCTATTTCTTACACAATTCATGGTCAATTTCTCATGGTGCTCACACTTTCTCATATATCAGAAAGTCGGGACAAGACCAATTTGGAAAAATTTCTAGTGATCAAAAGATAAACATAACATCAAAAACTAAACAAATTGATAATAGGAAATCTTTTGAATATTTAAACCATATATTTGGAACCTGACTGAATTTTGAGTTCCAAATCTGTATTCTTTTCCCAGTTGCTTTTGGGTAATTAAAAGCTATAGTCAAGAATAAGTATAACAACACTTGTGATTACGTACCTGACAATTCAGACTTTCATCAGCAATATTGAAATGTATGCCACTTGAATGTTGTGCAAATTTAAGTTCCCTTGAGGAGAACTCCAATGGTGAGTTAAGTACTGTTGGAATAAATAATTTAAAATGTTTATACAGCATTATTTTGACAAATATTTCCTCAAAGTCCCTTCATAAATCATTGTTTCTGTACATGTTTAGCAGAAATGTTTCTCCTCTTTTTTTAAAGCTGTATTTTCATTCTGTTGTTCCCATACTATATATATAATTATTGTAATTTAACTTTGTCTTATTATGACCCTTTAGTCACATTAGAATTATTTAAATTTTGTATCTACCAGAATTATAGCATCTCTTCTTCATATAAAGATGCTATAAAGAAAGAGCCACATGATCTTCCTATTGCAGATGAATGCGTTTACATTTGTGATGGTAATCATCAGAAAAGACTCGGAAGTTTTTATAAAAAACAGCATATCTCTTAACTTCATACAGCTCGAACAAAGAAACCATCACAAATGACGCAGTTTAAAGTGAGGATTTAGAAAAACAAAAGTATATGTTGCAACAATCTCATTTTGCCTCTTGATTAAATACCAGAAATGAACCTAGTAAGCATACAGTATCTTTTTATTGAAATCTGCACGTTTCACACGCAATGAATGAGGAAGTATGTTGATCAATTCTCTCCTGCCCCTAAAACACCCAAAGGATTTCCTAATCACGTATCTCACATTATGTAAAAAAAAATCCTAGCCATACTTCTCTAAAGCACAGACATATAAACTCCACAAACTAATATCGTTTCAAAGCAGGAATCTAATCTGTCAGAATGCTTCCACCAATATGCAACTACGTCACTCATGAAGTCCTCACCTCTCATAGAAAACGTTTGTACAAGGAAAACACAGCACGACCAAAAGACTAGGAGGGAAAGGAAATTATCTACCTCATGAAAAAATATCGTGAGATTGATTATCAAAAAAAAGAGTCAGCTCACATTAGGTCATTACATTGATAGTATGTCCTCTTCCTTTGTGTCTGGCTGAGGTAGCGCTTGTGTCTTTTCCAGTTGACTTTTCTGTTTTGTTTTGGGAATTTTTTTAGCTCTTTCAGTGCTTTCTTAAATACTGATAAGAAGTCTCCAAGGGAAAAGTATTACAAGTATTGAAGTAATACCTGCTTTCCTTCCCAGGTGCTCAAACAGTCTACAAACTTTGGTTTTTTTAAAAAAAAAAAAAAAAAAAAAAAGATCCATGATGGATTGAAAACATATTGACTACACTGAAGTTAAAAGACTGGGTTGACTACTCCAAGATTATTATGATTCTTTTCTCAGGGTGAACAATCCCTAGTACAAACATCGGATGTAAGCTATTGATTTAAGTGCCAACTGTACTGTCCTGTGCAGTCCAAATTGCAGTCAACCACAAAAACTGTCACAGGGAAAAAAAAAAAAATGCGAGTGGAAAACAAATGTGCCATAAAGCACACAGTAGTGAGAATTAGGCATATCTGTCAAATCGAAACTTTGAACTTCCAAGTTGCATCTTACCCACTTTTAGTTTTTAAAGTGATAATCTGAAATGATGAATCAATAACAGACAGAATTTTTAAGTTGTCAGAATGCAATAAAATTATCAAGATCTTTTTTAAGAGCAAAAATAATTAGGCTAGTTGCCTGCATCTGTATGGTTATGTGCTTTTACCCCACATTAGGCATTTAATTGGCCAAGCCTCCCTCAGTGTTCCCAAGATGTTTAAACATTACGCTCAGCACTCAAGTCTCATCTCAAATAAACTGTCCCTACACATTAAAAACTGAGATGAGGAAAACTAGTGGATTCAAGTATTCACAACGTGTAGGTCTATGACTACAAGGATGAGGCAGGATACTAAAGAGAACTACAAATTATTCTAAGAAAAGCAGAGAAGAATCATTTAAGATATCAATTTCTTGCTGCAGGCAAACAGCATGTAACTTTGGCCACTAACAAACTCTAAGATGCCAGAAGAGCGCAGTTCTACACATAAAAGAAAACTGAAGGAAGTAGACTAAATTACCACCGGTTCCCTCAGATAAGATCAGAGTCAGTCAGAGGCTTTTTAAAAAGAGTTTTGAATGTAGTTAGAGCTCCTAATTTTGACATAGTAAGACTAGAAAAAGAGTATGGGTGACATAGTCTATGCTTTTCAGATGAACTGCTGTAAATGCTGGGGTCTGCATGATAAGGTCTAGAAATACGAATGAATGAGTAGAAATAAAAATGAGGTTTGTTAAACTAACTTTTATAAAAGGCAAATAATTATATAAAAAACCCACATATTTTCCCAGCGCATCATAACTATGTATAGAAAGTTCAGCTTTACACATATTTAAAAATACAAATCAAAATTTGAAAATTTTGCCAGTTTCCAAGAAATTTACAAATTATACAATTCTGAAAAAAATTTCAGTTAAGTAGTAATCCTCTGCAATTAGAACACAAGCAAAAACACCACGACGAATGTTAAGTATCCACCATCTGCTTAAGTCCCTAGTTTACCTACCGACTGCTTTAACTCTACGGACTGGAAGAGCCACCGTCACCGCCTGTGGCTGAGGAGCCACAATGTGCTTTGCAGATTCCCGGCTCGGCGCTGTCAGTGGGAAGTCAGCGCGAGGAGTAGTAACTGGAAGCAGGAAGTCATATGCTGCCACCTACAGGACAAAAATATCTTCGTGGTCACTTTCCCATAGGAATTGTAGGTACTTCTTGAACCACCTAAGTGGTATAGCCATTTCAGAAGAATAATTGAAATTAACTTAGGACCTGATCATGATGTTAATAGGATGGTTATTTATTAGCATCCAGTAGGAGTCCTTTAAGTAAGCAGCGGCCAGCCGGTTTTTCCTCCCACTGAGGAAAAAAAAGTATGCCCCAAGTATCAGGGTTATCAGCACAGCTACAGGCAAGGCTTCTGGTAAATCTGTGTTCTTCTGTGTTCACTTTCACATACGTGGTAGTAAGTAGAACACATAAAAGACAGGATAGCAAAAACAAAAAAAATTGTCCTAAGCCAGGACATGAGGTACATATCCATCCATAACAGAACCAACACAGAGCTTAGATAACGAGAAGCAAGCACGCCACACTTACAGTGCCTGGAGTTAGAGCAGGGTTTGTAACACACAGTTACGAACTCCTGGTGGGCGAGACGTGTGCTGAGCCTTGTGGAACATTTTGTGTACTTGTGCTTATCAAGAGGAAAGCATGGGATGAGGGGAAGCTTTTCTAGTGAGATCATCAGAGTCCCTTGGTTTATATTGATATTTCATATTTGACAATGGTTAGATTTTATAACACAGAATTGGCTTTTCAAAATTAACACAGTGAATGCCATTAGAAGATTTTTTTTTATTAGCTAATGCCTGAGGCACACATCAACAAAGACTGAGTAAAAATCTCCTGATTTGATTTACATACTCTTCTACTTTCATAGTATCTCGTCACCCACATAAAAAACTTCAAGTTACATCTTCAAAACATGCTCTTGTAGCATAAAACCACATAATTAAAAACTAGACTGAAAAGCATCTTTTCTTCACAGTGTGAGAAGTTCCTTTCACTTCAAAGTATGTGTGAAATACATGATTTCACGTCACTAACAACAGTGGCTCCTTACAGTTTTAGAGAAACAACTGACTATCTCATCTTGTAGTTGAAAGTAATAAACATTGCATTTCAAGGCTGTGAAATCCATCTTAAAAAAAAAAAGTTTTAAAACTTTTTTTAATAAGAGATGTTTGATAGAATAGAGATGAATACAGCATTATTTGGTAACCCTGATAGCTGTTACAATAGATATGTAAGAGAACTATAAAGTGAACAATACCAAAGAGAGAAAAAAAAAAAAAAAAAAGGGTACAGGACCCCCCAGGTCAAGAATCTCATGCAACAGTCACAACACAGACACAAACCAAAGATTCTGTCACACTCCTTCAGCTGTATGAGAAGTTTGTTATATAGGGTATAGTGTACCCAGCATACATTTTCAGAAGCATAGTATGCAAAATGCTGTATAAATACCCAACTTAACTCCCAAGCATCATGGGTCACTGTAATAAGAACAGAAAGAGAATGACTGCACGTCTCAGTGCACATCTCAGGTTCTGAGATTCCTCTCAGCCTTGGCAGCTCCCTATAGCCAGCAGGCACCTCCCTACATGGGCAATCTAACTCTTGAAACACCAGTGCCAAGTATTGCAGTAAAAAAGTGAGCTGGAAAATCCTTCCAGCCCTAGCATGTATGACATATATAAAAACGACACTAAGTTTTTCAAGTTTGGTAAGATTAAAATGCTTAGTTTATAATAGATATCATTATCTTATTGGCAATGTAAAAGAGTACAGTCTAGCACTGCAGTTGTTCTTCACCAATGCTGTTATGTTTACTATGTTCATGTCGGACAACAAAAGGTAGAATCCCTTTATTCCTCTCCCAAAGCAGCTATTCAAAACTTGTTTCTCATTCCCACTATCAGGAAAATTTAGTTTAGTCTCACTATGCAACAACTGATTTATTTGCAAAGAACTGGCAAACGAAACCAAATAATGTGCAAGACACTCAATTTGATACATGCAGGACACCATGTTCGCTGAAAACCTGCATTTGCTTTGAAGTACGACAGTGCAAATTCAGAGTCAACATAACTCATGGAAACATATTTATATAATTGAGAACAAATCATAGACTTTTTGTTTCATTCATACGTATCTTTGTCTCATTAGCTAACCTGTACTACAAATTAAAAACTTTAAAAATTCAACATGCTTAGAAATCATATTGTAATTCATACACATACACACACACATAATAAACATATTACTGAAACAGCATTAAAACTTAATTTCATTTTTTTAGGACTTCACTTTCAAAGTGGAATCATTATTTTTCCTCTTATACATACATTAAGGAAAAGAATATGATTTGTTTTAATCTCTAAAACTCCATAATGGAATATTATCTTTTGTAAGATTATACACTCAAAAAAAATTAATGAAAATATTAAAAAAAAAAAATCTTATACTATTCCTGGACTTGCAGTTGCTTTTCAAATAATCTGTGAATACTTCGCTGTCATTTATCTATTGAGATATTTTTCTGAAGCATTTAACTTTATAAACCAGAGAATATAGGCAGGGGCAAGAAGCAAGCAGCCTAGAGACAGTTCTTTCACAAACACTCAAGGTTGTTTATATCTGTCGTGGGTTAGGTTGAAAACTTCCTCCCCCCCCACACACACAGCCGGTCACTCTCCCTCTCCCACCCCCAGGAATGAGGGAGAGAATTAAGGGATAAACGGGAAACCCGTGGGTTGAGATAAGAATGATTTAATACAGATGATTTAATACAGTATAGATGCTCACCACCCCCTCGTATGCGAAGCCCGTCTTGTCCCGAAAACTGCAAATCCCGGACGAACGCGAGGCCCCGAAATAGAGAGGGGCAGAGAGAGAGAGAGAGAAAAGAAAGAAAAAAACAGCAGAGCAACAGCGCAGCAAGCGCAAAAGAGCAAAAGTGCAAAAGAGCAAAAGCGCAAAAGCCCTTCTTCCCGGCTGCCCCTCGCTTTTATACTGGGCATGACGCTGCATGATATGGAATACTAATTGGCCAGTTTGGCCCTCAGTCTTAAGTTCCACACAAATCACAAGGGGAATCGTGTCCCCCTTGTCCCAACTATGCTCCCCCCTTATCCTGCCGTGTTTTTGCACTCCGGCACACTGAAAAGTCCTTGGCAACTTGCTATCAGCGTTCTTCTCAGAGTGAGCCTCTGAGTAAAACCAAAACACGGAGCTCTTCTAGCTGTTAAAAAAAACTCTGTCCCAGCTAAAACTAGGACAATATCATTATAAGAAATATTTTTTGAGTCATGATTTACACTAATTATGCACGTTAATTGGAAAGGAGGCATCATCTACAAAGTGGCAGTCTTAGCAATTAAAATACTTCAAAAGAAGCTTTAAAGTGCTCGTGACACAAAGGAGGTTTATGTTATGCGTTCACATAGAACATCTCCAAAGGACGCCAGAAAACGACACGCTGGTATAGGCAAGATAACAATTCTTAAATAAAACTGATACACCTGTAAACTTTTCTTTAGAGGGCATTTTAAAACACCTTCCAATTTTTTTTGCTAGAATTGCTAAATAAATAGAAGTTGTTGATTTTAAGAAATCTATCTGATCAAGAAAGCTCTGCTACCGAAACTCATTTGAATCTATGAAACAGGTTTGATACAACGTACATGGTAGCTGAATGGCTTCCTGCCTCAGGCCCAAACATTCAGTATACTGAAAGAAACAAAAGGAGGAACAACTACCCCAGCATCCATGACAATTAAAATGGTACTTTATCTAAAATTAATCCATAAAAAATTAACAAACTCAAGCACAGTTGTTAAGTTGAAGGGAGGAATCTAAAAGTAGAAAAAAAAATTTTTTTTCAAAAACTCTTTCAAAGCAGTTACTTCATTTCTATGTTTACTAAGTACTCCAATGTTAGAATATATTTTATGCTTTACAAAATATATTTTGCTAATTATTATTGTAATACAGCACATATTCTCAAGGTTGAGTAAAAATTTTGCTGTCAAATCCAGGAATCGTATAGTTTATTTAGCACAAAGCATATGTGACATTTCCCTAAAACTACAGTACTTGCTGTAACAGTACAACTTCACAGAGAATTGCAAGTAAATCAGGAAGCTAACTTAGAACTTAAAATTATTTAACACACCTGTAAAGGGTAATACTTTTGTATTTATCATCTAATAACACACAGACTGTTCAAATATCTTGAAGCATTAAAAGTCATTGAATTTTTGTGTAAAGGGTGATTTTAAAGTTTATTTATAGCACTAAAAACACATGGATTCAGCAGTGATACAAGGAGAGAAACTGTAATGTACATTAAAAAAAAAATCAGTTTGATTCAAATTTAAATCTAACTGCAAAACCAAGGGCGTATGACCTGCAACTGTATACAATATATATTCTCAACCTCTCGTCAGATTAAACATGAGCTTTTCCTTATAACATACTTAAATCTTTCATGCAGCCTAAACTCCCCAGCTTTATATCACAGATAAGCAGCTTTCCACAATGAATAATGTAACCAGTGTTCAAAGCCATCATTCAAAACACCGAAATAAAACTAAATCTTTCCCTTGTATACGGTCAGAGATGATGCACCAGCAATACCCTGTAATTCCACAGCTGCAGATTTTACATGGAATTCATTTCTTACACCACAGACTGTTCTTTCAGTATACTAAAAAACAAAAAAAATCATTAAAAATGCCAAAAATAAAACCAAAACCACCTGTCACTTGTCTACAAAAAACTTAAGCAATAAGCTCTGACAGGTGTGACGTGCTCTATTTATATCAATCAAAGGCCCTCGTAGGCGTCATTATTACACAGCTGCGTATTTTGTCTTTTTTCCAAGATGCTAAAAATAAAAAAAAAGTCATTGGAAGCAATACACTCCTGCACCTTGCTTTGCCTGTTTTTCTTAACAGACCATGCAGGACATTGAGGCTAGCAGGTGGATCATTCTGGCTGGAGAACCACAGTAACAGCTGAGGAACGAAGACGAGCAAATATTTAAAGTGACCACATGCTGCCCGTTTCGCTGGTACAAAACCAAAGGACTGAGGTGCTCCTCACTGTTACCTCAACAGGTAGCTCGCAGAAAGAGAGCCATGGTCAGAAAAGCCCTGCTTCTATGGTTCTTGGACAGTACAATTTAAAACTCTGTTCAAAAATAATCACTGCTAGCAATCAATAAATAACATTATTAGTAATAATTCTTAGCTCTGTCTCTGGATAAGGATGACAGAGATACAACAGATATTTAGCCAGATAGTCATGGGGCTTTTTTTGTTTGTGTTTGCTTGTTTGTTGGGTTTTTTTTGTTTGTTTAATTACCAGAATTATTTTTTTTTTCAGGTCTGAAATGAGAATCCTGCCTAGCCCAGCAGACATTCAGCTGGCTAAGCCTCCCCTTATACTGCACAGAAAAACACCTAAAATGTAATTGAAGTGTCTCTCAAATAAAATTATATCAAAACAGAAAAGAAAGCAGCATATAGCCTGTACACAAATATAACATTAAGAAGTAGTTGCTAGCTTACCTATTTACATATATTTTTGTATACTGCTTTCACTTACGGCTGACTTTCACAGCCAACAAACACCAAGGTTAAACTCTCCAGTGAGGCAGAGAGCCCTGTCACCTCTAACGCTTTTTGAGACACTGGAATTACAAGAAGGCAAAGCCAGGCCATCTGAGCAGCATTCTAGCCTTTTCCCTAATGCATCAACTTCATTTTACCACTTAGAATACTGGGAGGATTATCTCAAAATTTTTAAGATATTATAAGCATGCCAATATACTTTATCTCCAAGAGCGTCTTCTGATGTCACGTGTTTGTACATACTAAGTTTAAGTGAGAATTGTAGGAGCTATTCAGAGTTTCTATGTATTTACTTTATTTTTTGATTTGAAGCTTTTTGAGGCAGAAGGAAAGCTATTGCCAAGTTGATTTTTAGCAGGAGAATTCAAAATTGCATTCAAGACTAAATTACTTGAAACCTGACATTAATAATTCAAGTAGTTTTAATAAAATTTTAAAGCATCTTAAAGCATCATGAAAAATAATTTCATGCTTTTCTGATTTTTTTAATCAACACTTCTGAATTATTTTAATTTTTCCTGAGTTCTAGCATCTACTTTCTTAGCAATAACAACAATATAGTGAGCTTTTGTCAGTTTATAGGGTAGTGCTGTCAGTAATGACTACAACAGCAGGAAGTTTTAGTAGAACCAGAAGGAGGACAGAAAAGAATGTGACTCGATAGAATACAGAAGGTTTGTAGCAGCTGGGAGGTAAGCTGGGTAAGAGCAGTTGTCCAGAAAATGATGATGAGATCGGAGAAACAGCTGTTCAAGTGCAGAGGCAGGAAACAGCGCTAGCAACCATGAAATCACAATGAGGGAAGCTCAATACACAGAGAAGATTAGAGTTTTTTCAACTGGAAAGTCAGGAAAGAGAAGGAAGAAATCTGGTGAGAAAAGGGGGAAATTTAGATGTGGTAGAATGACAAAGAACGCTGATCTAATGGGAAATGTTTTAAGAATCAGTAACTACTGAGAGTTTCTGATCACAGTAAGGGATGCTAGTACCTGGACCACTTTCTTAATAGAACTATGCTTTTTATTAGCATTCTACTTTGCAGGAGTTAAATTCAAGAAAAGCTACATCGTCCTGGGAGGTAGATATACTTCCAGATGCTTCCTTTAGTCATGCCATACTGGGCAACACATTTAGTTTTCAAAGTTAACTTCACTTAGCATAAGTCAGTGCTGTTGCTGCCAGCTACCGGCACTGCACTAGCTCTCAGTAATGTTAACTTGTGACCACCAGTGGGCTGGAAGCTGGAAGTGTATTTGGGCACGTGTTGACCAGCAGTAAGTAAGCTGAACCCTGACAGGCAGGCAGTAACGCACCTGGAGCAGAAGGGAAGCACCGAGGGCAAAGAAAGGGAGACAGACTGTGAGCACGTGGAGAGAAGGGGAAACTGAATTAAAGACACTTCATCAAAGCAGTGCTTATTAGTTGGTTATGAGGTATAAGGTGCCCCAAGAAAATTTCCTTTTTGAAGTTCTTTATTCCCTTACTTCTGAAGCAAGCTGTTCTGTTTGCCAAAAATTATATCCAAGACTGGAAAAACACTCAGACCAAGAGTTTGAAAAAACTGAAAAAAGAATGACATCAGAAAATCGTATAGAGAAATCTGAAATCAATAGATGTAATATATTCTACAGATTTTTTTGGAGGGTTGTTTTGTCTTTTTTAAGAAGAGCAATCACAAAACAGATCCAGTCAAATGTAAGAATTTTGGGGGGTTTTTTCAAAATTTGTATCATAACTAAAGCAAACGGCGAACTGGTATAATCTTATCTTTTATATAAAATCTAACCCACCTGGCATAATTTAAACCCACTACTCATTACCTATCTACTGCAGTGAACAAGCACATATAAATTATATTCCATATAATATTGGAAGTTAGTTCCATTTTTTACATTGTGCTTTCTGGACTTCTGATCACTTCCATTGCTTTCTTTTGGACTTTTTTCCCCAAGAGAAATTTTCGCACTTCTTTCTTTAAGCATGGCATCCCAGATGGGTAAAGTGTTCTGTCTGAACTGTTATCAGCACTGATTAGAATTATTTTACTTGCTTTACTGATGTTATTCCTACTTATATAAATTAGTATGGTGTCTGCCTCTACCTTTTGTTCTTGTTCAGATTGTGATCTACAACAGCATACACATAAATTACTCCAACAGCATTATCTAGTCTTGCATTTCTGTTATTGACCCTTCCTGCCTCAATGACAATGTCAGCATTTTTCCTTACTGAGTTTTTCCCAGTACCAGTTTGACAACAGGTCACTGGTGATATTCTATATGTACCATTTTGCAAACAATTACATGCTTTCCTAACACTGTACATAGCCTAAATCTGACTACCTTGCTTATGAGAATGCAACATCGGACAGTGTCAAGATACTTAAAGATATGACACCTACTGCTTCTCCCCTAACTTCAAGGTCTGCTCTGCTATAGGAGGAAATTAATTTGGTTTGAAACAGCTCATTTTTTTATGAATCTATTGACTCATGTTCTGTTAGAAAAATTTATCTGAGAGTAGTGAACGTGCTATAAATTCACATCCTCAGTTATTTCACAATAGCTTCCATGTGTACACAGAATCTGAGCTGGCAGTAATAAGAGGAAGAAAATCACGGCGTTACCAGACACCTACTTGTAATAGGTAAATATTATTTGAATGATGCTTTGAACAAAAGTATTCCCTTTTATTTAAAAAATAAAAGTTCTGGAAAGAAGCAAGGAGGTGGGAGTGAAAAAAGAATACATTGTCTTTGATGCCTATTTATTTAAGGTAAAAACGCAGCTAATGTAACAGGCTTATGTACTGTAGTAGTGGTCCCCAGCTGCTTGTTCTGAAGCTGGTTCATGACATCAAAGACTAAACTTTCTTTCAGTTCATTGTTCTCCAAACATGTGGAAACCCCAAACCCCCCATTTCTAAAGCATTATTCAATAGGTTCAGATTTAAAATTTGCTATAGTACTCTCTATTGACACCTACTGCAAATAAAATGCTGTTTTCCTGATGTAAAACTAACCCATAAAGTCTCATATCTTCAATTTATTTCCCTCAAATAGCTCAATCAGAAAGCAACTTTGCCAATCTTTATGACACATAAAACTCCTCTACTTTTGCAGTTCCTCGGTCATCAGAGAGTTAAAGCACAAAGAGCTGCAAAAAGAAAATGGCTGCCAGTTAGTTGAATTATTTAATGAATGTGTGGTGAAATATTTCAATTTAAGTTTATACCTTTTCCATTTTTAAGTCATTCAGAAAGTGTATTTTCTCTGTGTATAAAAGCATTTAAGGAAAGCAGCAAAAGTTATATAAAGGTTATTTCAGAGCTTGTTTTCTTAAGAATTAGATTACTATTATAAAACTATTGCACACACTAAAACATCCATTAAAAATGCTTATATTCTTTCACCATAGAAATATCACAGACCATGATTTTAATTCAGCATAATCACCACTGCCCCATAAACCTACCTCTTTCGGCATGAAGGACAACACGCATCGCAAGGCCGACTGTCCCTCTAAGTTAACAGAATACAAATAAGGCTTTGAAGAACAGCAGTCAACAGCTGTAAACAAAGTTCAGAATCAAATTACACATGTCATTACACTAAATATCAACTTTGTAGTAGTTGTAGCACTTCAAAGTGATTTCCAACATAAGGTATCTGTACGGCAAACATTTCTCACAAAGTTATGAATGAATATAGTTTTTCTCATAACAATTCTGGAGGCAATTTTGAGAAGTGTTAACTACCAGCAACTTTCATTGAAGTTATTGACTTGGGAGAACATAATATTTTAGACAAAAAACACACACTGCCATTTACCTTTGAATGAAAGCGTTAGGCAAAAATAGTCAACTGAATAATGAAAACTAATACCAGAGGGAGAAAAATAGTTGGCTGAAACTATTTTTCTACAAGACTTTTAGGCATAATCTATACCACAGAAGTTTACCAGTAAAACTTGGCTTCATTTTTCGGACTTTCACGTCCAATTTTAAGGCACTGGCAGAAGCATGGGTTTCCAATAAACAATGTAACATTCCTCTGAAATCAGTATTCACTATTTGAACAGTACTGTACTTGACTGGATGTCACATTACGTGTTTCAAGCACAAACTCCGATCTAGAAATCATGTGCAATGAGTCGATTCCCATGCTGGCTAGTTGCCTGTTGTAGACAGTCTTACAGTTCTCTCCCAAGTTGACTGACGAGGAGCCCTCACCTTCCCTTTGAAATCCATTACATGGTAAGGAAACTACTCTGTTCTTGTCAGATCATTTTTTGTCATTCATCCACATATAGTTCTACATAAAGATACAACTAAATCTTATAGTGCTGTCTTGCAAAAGAAAGAGTCCTGATTTCCTGAGCTCACAGGCACAAGAGGCCATATAAGCATAGCTAAAAAATTCTCTCATGAATAAAGATGTTTGAACAGCAAAGGAGGTGTCAGCAAAGGAGATTAAGTAGAAAAGGGACGAGTGAAGGATAAGAATTTGCACTAATTCTATCAAGAAACAAAGAATAGCAGTCTAATTCCACTTATTGCCTCAATGTCATTCTGATTTGGGCATCACGCAGTACAGAGGTCCTGTGATTAACCTGCAGACACCCTGTACCATTAGGAAAGAGAGAAGTCGGACCCTTATACTGATGATGAATTAACTGAAGGGTAAACATTGTCCAAAGAGAGTGTAAAAGTCCAAGCAAAATACTATAGTTGTTTGGCTTTGGTTGATTGGTTGGTTGGGTTTTTTTAAATTGTTTTTTTTATTTTATCTGGTGAGAGGATATTCAAACTTTTTCTTTTTAATATACTTTAGCAACTACAGAGAAAAAAAAAAGGAAAAATAAAAATTAAAATCTACAGACACCCTGACATTTTCCAAATGCTTATATTTGGCAAATGTCATTATAGGCAAACCAAAATGTGTCCTCTTAATTCATATTAAGTAGCACTTAATTCTTATATAACAAAAATTAAATTCTGATACAGTTAAAGCAAATACCTGAGTGGTCATCAGCATTCAATTTAAAATGCTTATAATTAGAAAAATCAAACTCCACTCTGGTACACGCTTGTCCTTTGTTCTGCAGCAAAAAGGGAATTGATTTTGTAGAACCAGCATAAACACCACCAAAGTCAAATAGTTCCTGTAAGTTTAAAGACAAAAAAAAAAAAGGGGTCAAAGCACTGTTAAATCAAGTTTAAAATTGAACAGAATGTGAAAAATACAATTGTTCAAAGATTCCCAATTTATAACACAATAACAGACTTGGTTAATCGATTGCCTTGCATAACCCTTATCTTTAAAATCTTTCCAGGACATAAAACACAACAGTTTAGAATTCCAATACATAAGTTCAGTTACACCACCAGTAAAGTTTTCATCATTCAGTAAACAGATCAGTGGATTCCTTTTCCCTTATGGCATTTTTTTTCCCCTATAACTACCTTAAAGAAATCCTCTCCCTTTTAACATACTTTTTCCAGATTGTCATGTTCAAAAGCTAAAGCTGTCAGCTATCACGTAGTGCAACTGTCGTATGTACCTTTAGTTTTTAATTTCTAAGTTTTGCTCTTTGATATTTTTCTCAGGAAGTCAGCATAGGAAAAAATTAAAAACATGAAGTAGGGATAAGCCTCTTTGACATTTAGATAAAGTAAAACATTATCAATCTTACCAATTGTTACGATTTCTTCATACTTACCATATCAATGTTTATTTCAGGGATCTCTACAGAGCCTCTAATCCGAAGCTCTAGTACTCCTGAATTTCGCACTGCTACCTAAGTGAACGGACAACATTATGATTGTTGGTAAGGTCATTTTAACGTAACTATCTCACCAAATCTGACACAATTACATGAAAAAAAAGTTTTTTTTAAAAAAAAAAAACAACCTACCCCACAGATATAGAGTGGAGAGAGACACTCAGCATAATTTGTAATGAAAATACAAAAATAACTGTCCTTGCATTGTAGCGTGCTTTTGGTATGGAAATATAAAGGGGTAAAGAAAATTTTCGAGAACATATATACAGATTCCAGTGAGATGTGGCTTCAAAGAAGAACCAATCATGCCTCTGTGGCATACCATATCTGGCGCAGTCATAGCTGTTAATTTAAAAAAATAAATAAAAACAACAAACCAACAAAGTTTTAGGAAAGACCAGTCTTCTGCAGACAAAAATGATGTTGCATGAGGCTGTATCACCAGAATGAATAGTTTTGTCCAACAGAAGAAAGCTGAGTGGATGGGTTAGATCTTTCATCAGCTATGAGGATTGGAAAGTACACCATAAGTTGCTTGACAGAGGTACTGGTACAAACTAGATACTATTGCTCTGAGTAATGCTAAATCTGATTTAGAAGTGGAAAAAAAAAAAGAGAAATTAATATTGGGTTTAGCAGGCATAACGTAGGCAGATGAAGAATCTAGGATTAGAGTCAGAAAAGGTAGCGAAGATCAGCCCCATGATAGCACCCTTTTCCCCCATTCTCACTTACGTGATCAAGGACAAGTTCAGGGAGCAGGCATGCATAAAACAAAATAGGATTGGATGTTTGTTACACTTCTATTATCAAATCAAATCTACTAGTAAATTTGACTCCGAGATGACCACAAAAAGAAGTCAAGAAATTAAAGACACTGCAGTATTACAGTCCTGCTCCTCTATAGATCATAAAAGCTGCAGATATGTCTACATGATCTTCTAAAGACAACTACACGTTAGTTTCAACAGCTTGCCAGTGGTATAATATGAATCAGCTCAAATTGTGAGGCTGTTCAGAGCAGGACTGAGACCAAAATAACAGAATAGATTATAGCAGCCACCAACTGCTCTAAGAACACTTTTTTCTTTTTTTTTTTTTCTTCTTTCTTTTCCTTAAAAAGCATTAGAACACTGGAAATAAAATCCAGAAGAAGATGCTCAAATGTACACACAACATAACACTCAAAAGATCAGTTCTTCCAGTTTTAAATACCTTCACTCTTGTATCAAAACTCATTTTTGCATTCGGAGTGAAACAGATTTTGAGATCAGCATGGCCTCCCACAGGTACAACACCTTCAGAAGGAGTGATTATCATTCCAGGCAGTGGGTTTGAATCAAGAACCTTCAAACACAAACATGAAACATTAATTTCACTGAAAAAATGTAGGGGTTTTTGTTTGTTTGTTTACATACCAATATAACTGTCACAAAGATTTTATATTCTTACAAAGAGAATCTTCATAATATAGAATGCTAACTTGGACTTACAAGTTTAGGGCAAAAATACAGATAAACAAAATAAAGTAACAGATTTCTAAACATGATGACTGTCAGTTTCTATTATGAAATAATATTTGCACATCAGTTAGAAATTTTACATTCTGGTTGTTTTCATGAAGTTATAAAAATTAAGACCCGCTATCTAGCAAGTCTCCAGAATACGCTACAAAGCATTTTTTCAGTGATAGATAAATTCATCACTTCTTTTTTGCCATTCACAGTAAGAAGATGGGACATGGGATTCTAATACTGTAAAGTTTAGTAATAATACTAGGAGTAAATATTCAGTTTACCCACAATTAGTAAGAACAAAATAGAATTTGTTCTCTTCTCACACACTCACACACTCCAAACAGATAAATTTTTTAAGTATAGCTACAAAACTGATAATAACCAAGACCAATCAGCCATCTCTTGCCTTAAGAGAAATCGTGAAGGTTTAAAAGGCTGGGTAAGCTTGTTTGTTTGTTCGTCTTATTGATTATGCTGATTTTATTCTTTCAGGCCCATCCTCCAAGAGTGTAGCAATAATACTTGTTATTATATATGCTCAGTTGATAATAGAGAAACATGGTACAAATCAAAATAAACTAATCAAGTTTCTTAGTACCATAATAACATAGTAATAAAACTTCTGAAGATTTTAATGAAAAGTACTTTGCTTCACTAAATAAATACAGTAAATTATTCTGTGATCAGGAGAACTAACGAGGTTAGGTTTCCTACTAATTCATGTATTATGTCTTTACTCACTCTGGCATCCATCTCATCTCTTATTTAATCCATAATACAGCCTATCTTCCTCTCAGATGTTAGTCTAGGAGAGCAATCACATTTGCTGGTCTGGGTCTACGCATGCACTGAGTGAGCAGCCAGTATGAATAGGATAAGTAGCCAGTTTTCTCCGTCTCTCAAAATACAAAAATATCTAAGCTGTAACTGCTTTTTCATAGGGTACACCAGTAAGGGGTTCTACCCTCACCACTGGTTCTCATGAAATTTTCAGAGTCTTTTAGACCATTACCACTTTGCTTGTCTGTCTGTCCATCTATCCATCAATTCAAATTTGACAGAGGGATAGAATTCCCATTCATATAAATCTTGTTTCTTCAGAAAACCAGACAAAAACTTAAGTAGATGTTTATCTAATTACTGAGAACACAAAACTGTAACACAATATGATAAAACAAACTCTCTTCTTCCTCTCCAACCCAAGAAATTTAATAGGCTAAATATAATTTTAGCTTACTTGGAAGTATGCATGATTGTATCCTATGTTTTGAAGAATGGCTGTCTTACAAGTAGATAAGCCCATCGGACTATGACTGAAGGATATCCTTTGTTCTATAAACTGAACTTTAGTAGAAGCAAACTATAAAAAAAAGAAGATAAAACAAGCAAACTAAATAACATATTACTACATACAAATAAATAATTCAGCCTAAATTTCTTTTCATTACATAATGAGCTAATATGCTTGTGGAAATGCATAAACTAGAAGTATTCAAATCGACAAACACAGTTTAAATGTGAGACAAGATTTACTCAATGTATTGAGCTCATCTAGATTCAAAGTGAACAGACACAACCCCAGAGATATTTCTGGGCTAATTTCAAGACAAATAAAAATATTTTAATTAAATTTAATATTTTAATAGCAGTAGAAATGCTAATATTCTAATTTACACACATTCTGGTTTACATATGGCAATTTCCAAGGTTTCAAAAGAAGAGGAAGAAAAAAAGCTACCGGGGAAAAAAATAAAAGTAGGCACATCAAAAGGAAGGGACAAGTTTTCTTGGCTCCCAAAATGGAAGTTCTAGAGCATGCAGCCAGTAGAATACAGTGGAGGGGAAAAAAAAAAAAAAAAAAAAAAAAAGAGTCTGGCTCCTTCACACTCCCTGCCATGTAACGTCAAATTGCCTTTGTCTTGCCATCATGTCTTTGAAGCAACATTGTTTTGTTAAACATGTCAAACAGAAGCCATATGAAATTGAAAAAATTTTCTTAATATATGATAATAGAAATATATTTAAGAAATTACTTGTTTAAAAAAACCCACACTTTTTGCTTCTCTAAATTTGCTGTATGAATTGTTACCTTGGCAAAACACTTCAACTTAATTGTGTTTCCTTTACGCACACACAAGTTGAATTCTCCTGCTTCTGGAGAGTTGAACCCTGGATGCCAAACAACTTCACACTCCAGATCCCTATAGGCCTCCACACAGCCTAAATAAACATGCATAATTACACATTATAGCATATGCATGTACGATTATCAAAGTACATTACATAATTACAAATAACACAAACACATTGAAGTGAAATGACCTTCTCTTACTGCAGACTAAGTCTACATTTCGGAGGTGTTGAACAGTATGTGGAATTAAGTAACATTAGTTTCCGAATTCTCATGACAATTGCATAATCTGTTTATTACTATCCTGCAGTAAAACACACACAAGATTCACTGGTATTTTTTAGCCATGAATTACTCAAATAGTCAACATTTAAAAAAATAAAAAAGCAGACATCCTTCCTGCAGAATAACAACTTTGGGAAAGACCATATACATTTTCTTGCTTGCAATTGGGTCTGAACCCAAACTAGCAGAAATAACGTTTCTCAAGAATCAGGGCGCACCAAGCTCCTGATCCAGCCAAATCTCGTTTGAACTGTGTGATGCCAATTCAGTCAGCAGTTAGCTCTTTAATAATGGAGCTCCCATACGCTCCCGCAGAACACTGTGAAAGGAAAGAAGGTAAAAGCTAATGCCTTGCACACTTCTAACAAACATTGATCCATAATGCAAGTGGAACCTAATTGCAGACTGAATTCCATTTGTGTCACTCAGACTGTCTACATCAACTTATTAGCAGCTTCATTCATAGAATGCTTTAGGAAAATTTCCTATCCTGATGAGCTGTATGATATTGCTAACTGCCATAAAATAGCTGCCTCACTTTTGAAATATTAGCAATCTGCTGAGAAAAACAGTTACTTAAGCACTGCTGGCTGGACATGGAAACAACGAACTGGACTGAGTGCACTCAAGGCAGGGCTTATTTATACAGGGAGTGTTGCTATGGTGTTAACACTCTGATATGATACTACTTTTGGAGTACACTGATATTGACCCAAATCTAAAAAACATAGTTTATAACATCAGCTGAATGTTTGTCTTACTTAACATTATTGACATTTAAGATAAGTGCACACACACATACTGTACTCGCATAGTATACCTTTGGCTGGGTGTATAGAAAATGCAGTTCCTCTATCTGTAATTACAGGCTTCCAAGAAAACCCAGCAGGATGGTTCCTGGGATTGTATACCCTGACAGTTGTTCTAAATTCTGTCTTTGCTAGATAGCCAGGAATAGGATATAAAATCAGTTCCCTTGCAGATAGCTCCAGTTCAACAGACACTGCTTTTGCAACTACGAGCACATGCCCAAGGTGTTGGTTGTTTATTGTGTAAGTGAAAGATCTGTAATATAAAAACATATATTTCTCAATATTTTTATGTATTTATTATGTTGTAGTCAGAGTAAAATTTATGTGAAACATAATCATTAGCAAGAAAATCTGAACAAAATAACTGAGTGTGAACACACAGTTAAGACAGACATGAGAAATCAGTTTGTAATTGTTTTGCATACGACTTAAATCATGTCAAACGTGAAGATCATCCCAAAGGACGATAAACCTCATACAGTCATTTTAACAGCATTAGTAAAATGAGAGTTCCATCTCCACACCAGAAGGCTGGAAAACAGTTTGCCTATAAATTTACCCATGAGATGCATTAAAAGAACTGAGCATAGATGCAGTGATGCAACACTATGCCGGAAAGAGCACAGTATTTTCCACAAAATTTCTCCTAACAAATACACTGTAATAGCAAACTTTTTTCCCTGATATACCTGTGGCTACATGGGCTTTTGACAGGACAGTTTGTTGTTTTTTTTTAAATCCTACGAAACATTACTACACTAGCAAAAATTTTGCAGCAAAAAATGGATTAATTATTGCAATACCACAAATGAGTGTACAATATCAACACTCACCATAACTACACTGTTTAAACCAGCCATGTGATTTTTCTATTCTCCTACTGCAAAGAAAATATGTAAAACAAGACAAATATAAGAAGCCATACCTTTTAAAGATTCCAAGAGTGTTTGTCTCAAATACAATTGGAATATGAGTCTTTGTAAGAGGAGGCACCACCTGAGACAATGGACCCGACTGCTGTAATTCATCCATTTCCATCTCTATTTGTATCCATATATGAACTAACAAGTTATTGATGATATGCAGTTTTCTGGCTGTTGTAGAACGCACACAAACATCACCAAAATCCATAGTAGAAGGACCTGTAATATATGAGAAATAAGATCTTTGACATTAAAAAGTAAAAGTTGTAAGGAAGCATAACTACTAAAACATTATGATCAAAACATTTTAGTTCCTCAAATTACAGAATTAGTCAAATAGAACAATCCTGTAGCAGAACAAATTCACACTAAAATTTGGAACTAAATACAATTCATGTTCTCTGAATGTTTTCAGCAGTACAACTCAAAAGCCAGCACCAACATTTATTTATTAATTCTGTCTGTGTTAGCCAGCTATTAAAACAGCAAAAGCAATGTCCTAATTGCTAAAGGCATTATTAATAATCATACATACTTTTTATTATTCATATATTTATATGGCTAGACAACCAGTAATTCACTGAGAGTTTATATATTTAACCTGTTTATTTGCTCCCTGATGTGTAATCATTTGGTTTAATAACACATGTAATTGGATGGTGACAGAACTATCTCACTACTACATTTACTGCTATCACCAGCTTTCATGCTGGTCTGCAAATTTTAGTGTTCACGGCACCAATCAAACATCTTACAAAACTCTTGGTACTTTGTCTATCAGTATGTTTATGTTTCATATGTTTATGTTTATGCTACCTTTTCCCTAGTGTACCAGTATACAGAGACACACTATGCAAGTTCTGGCTTCATTGAAAATAAAAAAAAGCCCAGAAAGTACTGACAATTTTCACTTTGCTGCTAAATAATTTTACTGAAGAAAAATTGAGCTTAAAATAGATCAGTTTTGGTATGAAGTGTTGTTAAGACAGGTGTCCCTCATAGACTTTAGAAGGTGTTACTCCCCATCACAGAGCACTCCACAGAAATTATTTTGAAGGAGGATCCTGAAGAAGTTTTACTTTTTTGGGGTATCACTGTTCACTGTTAATTCCCAGAAACTTTCTGAACACTCCCATGAATCTTGCTTATGTTAATGCTGATCCAGATACTGTCCAATAACAAAGCATAAGGGTATGTGCAACCTTCCCACTGTGCTGCATTGATTTTTCTATAACAGGCTATAGCATGGGCACTCTTTGAAGGAAGCTCTCCTTTTGCATGTTCATACCTAATTATACCTCAGTATTTTCTGAGGAGTATGAAGCTTTAGTTAAAAACTACTCTAGATATCAAGCTGCCACCAAATTAAGCTATTTTCTATTTAAGGGGAACAATTATGAATATAAATTGTGTTAATATAAATAAAAGCTTTTACAACAACTGTGTGAATTTAGTAACCAAATTAAAAATCTTACCAATGAGTATTTGATGAAGCTGCTTGGATGTCAAAGCTAGATTACAATCTTCCTTCTCTTGGGTAGAAGATGGTATGGCACTAAGCCCGCTCCAAATCTGTGATGAGCACAAGACATCTTCTCAGAGCAGGATCAAAGTTCTTATGCCTTTTGATATGGTAAACACATTATACTTACATTACTACTCGAGCACTTAACTTACTTCTTTGATTGAAGATTTAGAACCAATTGCTGCCAACTTTCGACTAGTTAATAGGCAATTCTCATCTAAAGGAAGCGTTTTGAACCGTAGCTTCTCCTTGTGCAAATCTGTGATTGAGATCTCTGGTGACCTAAGCCCTTCAGCTGGTTTTAGGCCGATGTTCACAGAATTATTATAAATATGAAACTGCCTATAAGGGAGGGGAAAAAAAAGAATATGGAAATTTAGAAGTTTGAACATTCCATCTACACATTAAACTGTTTAAGATTTTTGAACATTACAAATAATACTTTAAGTAGGCGTGTTTCATTATTAAACAAAACTCAAGTACAGAAAATGAAAAGCCTTTTGTTGTATTCTTTAGGCAAGGATTAACATCTATTACACATTTGTGGCAGTTGCTTAGCTGAATAGGGTGCAAGCATTATGGCTACCAAAATATAAATATTATCTCATATCTAAAATACCTCTTAAAGAACAATGTAAGTTGTAAAGTCAAGCACTTAAAAGTTCGCAAATGCCAAGATTACAAAGGATCCTTTAATTGTATATGTCTGAACTGGATCACTTACGGTCTAATTTTCAGAGCAATCAAATTTTTCAAAATCCAATCAATAAATTTCACCCACAACCAAGAGATTTGAAACTTCCAGAGATCTTACACAGATGTTTCATATCAAGTGTTCAGAAAACGTATTACTATGTTAGACAGTAACAGTGAAATTCATCTGAAATTTTCCTTTCTGTTCTTGCTTCTCATGCAAAGATATACCTTGAATATATGCAAACAACAGTTCGCCCACTACAAAACATCAGTTCCTCTCAATAAAACCATACATCATATGCATGCATAAAAATAAAATAAGACGCTGCAGGCCTTGTTTGAATCATGATGTATATACACAGAGCAGGGTAAACTGAGATTACAAGAATAATCCACCGGCATGATTAATTTTTAAATAATGAGTCGTGCAAACTTAACATTTGAGGTATTACTTCTGTTGCTTTAGAGGCTTTACAGGTTGTTTTGTTTTGTTTTGTTTTAAATAAAACTTTTTAAAGTAGCAAAGCTGACAGTTCTACATTTCCATAATTTTGCTCCACAGCATACCAACCAAATACACAAATTCATGAAGTAAGAATCCTTTTATTTTATCTGCTTCATTCCACAAATTATATCATAATTTACATACTGAATCCATCATTTTGAGTGAGCTAGACAAACTAGTTGGAAATACGTACAATTTATTAAATAAAAAGAAAAGGGAATCCAACACAATAAATTTTATGTTTTTCCTTTTAACCATAACCAACTCTTCTTAAAGCTTGGCATCTTATTTTAAGTTACATGCCTCTGTCCCTACGTTTTACCCTGGAAATGATCTCTAAGTGTCTAAATGAACATTTGAACAAAACAGGGTTTGAATGTATTATAAATGAAGGTCCCAAGATCATAAGCATTTCAGCATGGGACAAATTTAGGTATGTGATCAGTGCCACTAAGTTAATTCTGCACATATATACATCTATTTTTCATACGAGCCTAAAGTATTTATTTATCCTTTAAACAAAGCCTTACCTAGCGGCATCTTTCTGTAAACGACGCTGTCTTAAACTAGAAATGAAGTCTGTGTAGTATTCCTTATGTGCTTCTTTTGACAGTCGTTCACAGTCAGTGTAAGAATACTCTGGATCTACATAATTGTATCTCTCTGTCTTTGTGAAAATAGTCCTAAATATTTAAAGAGAATTGTAGTTTCACTAAGTGTGTAAAATGATTCTGGATTTTGTTAGAAAGAAAAACATCAATTTTGCTACATATATATTTCATTGCAAACATTCTTTTTATCACAGCTGATTATTACTATTTGACCTTGTAAAGGGAACCGTAAAAATGAAATACTGAAACTGTAATAACTACATTTGTAGTTTCGTGTAAGAAAAGCAACTCAAGAAATTTATGTGCATGAGGCTCAAGGTTAAGTAGAAAGCAATGAATTTTAAAGAACTTTCAGTCTAGGGGAGGAAGAAAAGTAAACTGTCATATGAGTTAACAATCTTGATCTACTATACAGTATACAGAAATGTGTAGTTTTAAACATTATATGTGCATAATTTTTACCTGTACTTTTTGCTCCATTCACTAGGCCTAATGCTGGCTGCACGGTCATTAGGAAAAGCTACAAGTGCATCATCCTTGCAATTCCTGTTTATCCAGTGAGTATGAATTTGTGTTTTTGTTGATTTAAGTATTGCCACAGGTGCTGTATCAGTGCACTGTCCTGTGCCATCAGCTACAAACTGTCCAGTTGCATTGGAAATCATTGGTGTTATACCTTAAAATTCAAATAACACATTACATACATTTATACTAACACTTTGTAAACAAAATTCAAAGTATTATAAAAATATTTCTCAATTTATACTGGTCCCCCCAGCAGCCCAACAATCAGTCACCCATTCCATTATGTTTTCCTCAGACAAGAGGGAAAAAGGCATTCAGGCCATACTAACAGCCAACCACTTTCCCTGGCCTAGATTACAGACAAAAATTTCTAGAGCCCAAACCACTACTACTACATCCAGCTGCGACACTTTGTCTTGCACGTGCCTGTGACCGAACACTCAGAGCTGCCTCTGTCACAACATTGTCCACAGTGTCCTAAAGCTTGTCTTAAGGGCTGCAAACACAGACATATTTTTGACAAAGAATCTCCAAGTGATCACAACTAGAAAGAACTCAGATCTTTTTCACTCTAGTTTTAGAAAAGGACATATACATTAAGGAGAAGCAATTCTGAGAGAAACTAGGCCATGTGTTTGCTCACCTCTCCTACATAAAGATACATGTTTAAAACAGCACTATAAATAAGTAAACCCATTTTTCCACTGCCTCTCCCCCCTCATCTGCAAAAAAACCCTGATACATTAAACCAAACATATTGGGTTTACTTCCTCTTTTTACTTCCCCACAATGCTCTCTGAAAAAAACGGGTATTGCCTTCCTAGTTTTCATTAGTGAGTACATCTTCAAGCGGGCTGCAGCCAGTGCAGGAGTGTTCAAACTCCCCTCCTCACCTACACACAGAACCCAGACGCACCACTGTGCAGGGCAGCCGTGTTCCACTGGCACTACCTACACGTGCGACAGCAGATTTGATGCTAGAAAAAGCTACATTTCCCGTGACTGGTTTTAAAACCCAGTGACAGGTCTAGTCAAATCTACTGTAAAGTGGTTGGTTGTGGGACATAGCAACATGAGGAGCAAATTAAAGACTATTGCATATCCTGAAAGATTCTTTATGCTGGCATAGGCTTCATGGGATGAGAAGAATCAATGGATGTAGGACAGGTAGCAGGCAGTATTAACTGGCAAATTCACCTGGCAGTAGTAACTTTCGACCTATAAAGAATACCCTGTTATCTTTCCTAACTTCTCCTCTGCTTTACCCATCATCCCTTTACTTACAACTGAAACATAATCGCACTACATAACAGTATCGCTGCCAAAACCTGAAGCCTTCATTTTCTGATTTATAAAAGTTAAATAATTATACGACGAAAAATTATGCTTTAATAGCTCAATTTTCATTAAAACATGAGGTGGGGTTTACTATTATTTTAGCCATTGTTTTATACTCTCTTGGGTATATATCATACAACTGAGCATTCCCTCAACTCCCAAAGAGATTATTTTTTAAAAACAAACTAAAGTAGTAAAGAAATCTCTTTTAAATTGTTAAAAATGTACTTTTAAAACATTATATCACTTGTCATTTATCTTTTTAGGACCTTACCAGGATTAATTTTGAATATAATGTTTTTTCGTTTAGATTTGCACACACCAACAAAGCTCAAATATATTTGGTGAATGGATTTTGTCTTCAAAACCTGTAAATTATTTTCCTCTAGTCCTGTACCAATGATATCAACAACTTGCTTCACTTTAAATGTTCCTATTTGATGTGGAGAAAATGAAAATACCACATCCTGGAAAAGAAAAGTCATTATGACATATGTGAGGCAGAAAAGCAAAGAGAAAAGTTTTGTGTAATTCTCTGTTTAATTGAGTCACTTCTCTCCACACTTACTTCTAAGATCGGTGTTCAAAACAAAGATTTTAAAATATGCCAATTGCCACACATAAATTAGCAATATAAGGAAACATAAAACTGCTACACATTAGAACACCACAAAGTCTAACTTGCTCATTTCTGGGACAAATTGTTCTCTCTTGTGCCTCAAGATACAGGTTTGTGAAATTATAAATGTCTCCATATTTGACTTAAATTTGGCAAAGCTTCTTCCATTAAAAGATATGTTATGTTACCATAGTATTTGTGATTTACTGAAAGAAATTAAAAGGATCCTGCAAAAGTTTGAGTATAAATCAATCTTCTCAAGTCAGTAAAACAAAAAAATTTAAATCCAGGAAAAACCTATGTAAAGTTTCTTTAGTACTACAAATTTTTTCTGAATTTAAAATAACACTTGTTGCTTCCTGGAGCACAGGAAAGAGCATTAAAAGACTATATTAGGAGAAAAAAAATTATATATTTTGTTGATATTAAATGTAATGGCTACTGAAATGAAATTGTTCTGGTTTACTTTCAAGAAATTCCACTGCTGACCACTATAAAGTAATCTGCATATCTATACAATCTAAAACAAAGAAGTAGTTACCTTTGCAGATTTTTTTTTAATTTTTCCTTTCTCAGGAGAAATATTAAAGTGAGCAGTCTTGCGGAAGCTGAATGTTACTGGAAGGGACTCAGATTCATTTTTCAGTGTGCACAGAACTTGTGTTTGTTCACCCTGGAAACAGTCCATAAACTTAATAACTGGTCCTGGATTAAAAGTTAACATCACAGGAAGTCCAGAACCAGTCAAAGCTAACGCCATGTGATGAGGATGATTCACTGCATTAGACAAATACAAAAAACAAACAAAAAAACTCATACACTTATTAGCTTACAGAGACATCATACTGTAGTTGTATGGTTGCAAAAACAAAATAATACCGTAATACAGTATGGTTTATAATGCAGTTTTCTATAAACTTAACACAGAAATGCTTATTTATAATGACTGTTAGATAACATATTCCCTTATTAAGGAATTTGAGGGTGATCAAATATTCACTTGAAAATGCACAAAACTGGTATTAACAAAGTGCTGGTGACTTGCAAATGGCTGGGGTTTTTTTTATGTCCTCCAAATAGTTACATTCATAATTAAGTTCTAGGTGTTCACTACCAACAGATGTATTCATGACACATATGATTCCCTCCTTTCTACTCACTGCTCAGAGTTTTAGGTGCTAAAGCATTAAAGATGTAAGTTACAGTAATTTATGTGTCTTGATATAAACAAACTAAACACAGGTTTCCCATAAAACACCTAAGAAAATGAAGAAATTAAAAAAAAAAAATAGTCAAGATAGACTGTTCTATCATCCATATATACATTTCTGACAGTGACTTGTCGTGGTTTAGCCCAGCTGGCAGCTCAGCTACCGCGAGGCCACTCTCTCACTCCTCCTCTCAGTGAGGTGGAGAGGAGAAAAATGTAATAAAAGGACTGATGGTCGAGACAAGAGCAGAGGGAGCACCCACCAACCATGGCCATGGGCAAAACAGACTCGGCTTGAGGACAAAACAATTCAATTCATTAACAGTTTCTTGAGAGGTTAGAGAGAAAACAAGGCCAGATCTTAAAAACAACACCTCCTTCCCCAGCGGCGCAGGGGAACAGGGAATGGGGGAATGCAGGTCAGTTCATTCCGTGCTGTTACTGTCGCTCCTTTCTTAAAGGAGGAGGAGTCCTTACACCCTTTTCCCTTGCTCCGGTGGATCCCCTATTCATGAGGCAGTCCACAGGCTTCCAACATGAGTCCTTCCTGCAGGATGCAATCCTTACCCATTGGATTGCTCTGGAGGGGGCTTTTATCACAGTCACGGATTCTTAGGGAGTTGTTGCCACTCGCTCCAGTGTGGGTCGTCCCACAAACTCTAGATGCGTCTCTACTTTTGTCATGTGTCCCATTCTCCACGACATCTCTCAGGCTCAGGCATCTTTTTCTCCAACATGGGCTTCTCCACGGGCTGCGAGTGGGTCTCTGATCCACCAAGTCTGTCCCGGGGGGGGCCCGCCTGCCGTCTCCCCGCCAGTTGCAGGGGAAACTCAGCTGCAGCACACCTCCTCCCACTCCATCTCACTGACCCGGTGTCTGTGTGGCCGTTTCTCTCCCATCTCAGCCCTCTCCGGATGCACTTGGCCCAGCAGGCACTCCGGCATGGGGTGCTCCCGAGTTCTCCACGCGGCATCACCACGGCCATCTCCAGCTGGTGGTGCCAGCCTGGCGCGGGCAGCCGCCGCCTCCCCCTCTCCACACTCCAGGTCCAGAGCATGAAGCACCATCCAGCTCCTTTGTCCCCAGCTTAAATAGGGCAATTCGCAGAGGTGCTGATGGCTCTACCCTGGCCTGAGGGGATGGCGGTTCTGACCTGGCCAGAGACGGGTCTGACCCGGTCTGGAAGCCCAGGAAGTCACAGGGGGTGTATCCCCCTTCCCACCACCAGAACCCCTCCACACAAACCCAGCACATGACTATATGTTTTTTATAACATACTTGTGATTGCTGTGGCACCATCACTGAAGGCCCGCAGATCGCCACCTTTATTTCCAACAGCTTCAAATCTCAGAAACAGGACGTAATCTTGTTTCAGTGATGAGTCATTCACTCCGACGTCCCTTTTAAATTTTCTGTAAGAGTCACAATCTCTAATTACAAGATGACAATAAAAACCCAAAACTACCAAACCCCAATTCACAAAAAAAAAAAAAAATCAAGGCTTATTTTTCATCATCCAGTCTAGCTTTTTTGCTGTTGATTACAGCTTGAACAAATGATCTTTATACTTCCTTTCAGAAAATGGAACAATAACAAATTTAAGCTCAACATTATCTGTATGATTGTTATACTAGTCATTTGATACCTTTTCACAGTGTCCAACAGTTTTCTAAACTAATATTACATGCATAATAAAATTAGAGTTTAAGCAAGGGATAATGGCAAGAGCGCATTTTCTTTTTCTTTTCCTTATCCAAAAAAGAAATGTTATGCTTAGTTTTTTTTCTTTTCTTTTAATGGAATGAAAGCTCTCCAAAAATGTTTCAGTCTCTTGGTGATGAAATATATATATTCTTTCACAATGCCACACATATACTCTATCTTTATGAAATAAATCCACAGTCATTAAAAAGGCACTTAATTTGACACTGTAGGACTCTCTGAATAATCTCTGGAGATTCAACATATTTAATGGGATCTGCAATTAGTTCCCTTGGCAAAACCTAAAAAAATTCTCATTCTTGCAAAACAAGCTTAACCAATTCTTGGTTCAGTACTATAAAACATCTCCTAGATAGCCACGTCAGACTTTGCTTTCTCATTTGTAATATCACGCCAAGCACTTTCATTAACACACATAAATACATAAGAAGTCATGCAGAAAAATATTTGCAGGACCATTAACTTCAAATATTTTCTCTAGCACAGCTCTCTACAGAATACTTTAGACTAATCAACTTGTGTGTGTGTCTAATTCAGATCACTCACTCACTTTGGACTAAAGCACAATGTAACCAAAGATTTCTCATAAGGCAGCAAGGTTCCTTGATTGGGAATGCACAAGATCAAGGTGGAAACATCTACATCTCTTGTTCTGTTTTTGAGACTTAAGTCTTGTAAAACAGCATCTGCACTCCTCTGAAGATCTGTCCCCTAAAAAATAATCAAAACATGGAATAGTTTAACTTGTTCTGCTTCCCCTTTTGTGTTTGGTTTGTTTGGGTTTTTTCCCCCCTGCACATATATTTTCATATCTTTCACGATAAGTAGAAAAACATAATGTAAGTAATAGCACTGACATAGTTACATATCACATGGCTAATTAATCAATTTTTAAACATCAATCTCATGTCAATGTTTTGAATTCCCTTTTTTAAAGTTGATGCTCATTCAGATGATTTCACTGTCCAAGAAAAAGACGTGAAATCACAAGTGCTTAACATCTTAGAATACCAAAATATATTTTGATAAGTCCTACTAAATGACAAGAAATCCAGTAGGTCAAGCAAAACTGCTCAAATAAAACCAACAAAACAAAACAAAAAAACATACTTAACATTATTAAGGTTAAGATGTCACATAGTGAAATAGAAACATCTGAAAAACTTAACTTCAAAGTTAAATTATAGTAAAAAACTTGTTGCTTGGACAGAAGTTTCAGAAAATCTATTAATCAGGAAATAGCATGACATAGTAAACACTACAAACAAGTTTTCAACTAAAATAAAAACCAGAATAATTTCTTACCATCTCTCCTCCAATAGCATTGTCTTCCAGTACTGCTACCCAGTCCACGTACTCCGGACTTTCATTGTACAAATGTATTTGTTCAGTCTTTGAAGACCCAAAGTAAACTGGTCCAAAGTTAATACATTCCAATACATTTCCAGAAGAGACTCCTAGAACTTTAAGAACTTGTTCAACCACAACAGCTTTGATCTGTACTTCAGTGCAACCACGACCTTCCAGCTCTGCTCTGTCAGTAAGAGGAGCAAGCAGCAATAGGTAATGTAGAAAAGCGTTAGAAATAATCCGTTTGGTTTATATGATAGCCTATGCAAAACTGAACCAAATCAGAGCATTTAAATCATTGGCTTTTCATAGATCAACTAAGCCAGCGCAGGCAGAAGGGCAGAAGGGAGAAACACAAAAAAAAGAGAGAAACACAAAAAAAAGAGAGATTATACTCGACAATGTGACACCTAACAGGAATATTACCAATCAGAAAGAATTCCACATTACATGGTGGAGTTTTGGGGAGCTTTTTGAGATTTTCTCCTTTTTTAATGTTTGACGCAACAGGAATGACATCTCAAAAATAAGCAGGTATGTCCACATATGATACAAAGATTCTCAGAAGTAAGAGCAGTGTATCTAGATACCAATTTTGGCATATACTTAGTCATTTTTTCTTAGGCAACTGGAGCTAGAAGTTCATCTGAATAAGCATGAAAGAACTGCTGCCATTCCTGCACGAATGCTTGATCTTGGTGAAATCACAAAACACCAAAGGACCATATAGACATTATACAAATCTTTGTTAGAATTCTACTGGAACAGAGCATATTTGTTCTTGGTATACAAAAGAATCAAATTTAGTAATATAACTTTAAGTTCTAATAAAATCAACTATTCATATGAATAGCCTCTGAGCTGAAAAAAACAATAATTAAAAAAAATTTTTGTTTTGAACAGTGACGTCTATAACACAAGGGATTTGGGAGAAGATACACCAAAGGACATTATAATGCTCCTGAGACTCCTCAAACACATAGAACCAAAAGAAAAACAGTAAAGTTACAGAAGCTAAAAAAAGTAAGGACCACAGGATGCGTGGAAAGGTGAAAGTTACAAAAGCTCCTGGTTAGTTTGCACTGAGAGATGTGCAAATATTTCATATCATTACAACTTATAAGAGACCTTTAATAACACAGCCAGGTACACAATTCATGCATCACTGTTCTGTGGAGACAATATAATCATCAAATTAATTTAATAAAAATAAACGTGGAAGACAGCAACTGACCTCTAGGAGTTTAACTTTTTTAGATAAACATTCTTAATAAAGACTAGAATTAACAACAGATAAAAATGTAATTTATAGAGCTGGATTTCTTCAGTCATACACTCACTTTATCACTTCTCTGATGATTCTAGGTACATCCGTGCAGATATCCACTTTAACTGTCTTTTTAGATTTCGGCTCTACAACTCCACTGGCAGGTTCTATGTTAAGCAGGACAACCCCATCATATGATATTTTAAATGTACCTAAAAGAAACAGAATAATAAACAGAATGTTACATAACAAAGTTCTAGATTTATATTCTTATATTACTCATTTGGAATTACAAAACACATAATGCAGATATTTACAAGCAGTACATTGTGCTAGGGAAACAGGAAACATGGAGTTAATCTTTTTCAAAACTATTTCTAACAAAGAGTAAATCATTATTTCCAGGGTTTCTTTAAATATTACACACATATGTCTAGCATCACTTCACAAGTTGTGATCGTAGCAGAAAAGGTACATTCCAAACAGAATTTACTGTATCATAACACAGCTGTAAGTAACATTTTGCAAGTTATGGGGTATTTTATATACAGCTCCAGGCAGCTTGCGTAGCCAGAAAGTCAAGCGTATATTGAAGGTAACAATAGTTTTCATGTTTGGTACGTACACAGCAGAATTTATTGCAGAAGAGAACACTGACTATTTCTAGGTTATAAAAATATTTTTTAAATGCAAAAATACTTTTAAATACTGCTGTATTTAACCAGCAGTACTAAATATCTGTCTTTCCATCACAGATAGCAAGAAATTGTTTCAAATCTTGTAGGGAAAATGCACGGTTTGACCTCAGGCAATAGATAATCTCTGATAAGAGATCGGAAGCAGGAACAAAGAACATCCCATTTTGTGCATGGGATGACAAGCGGGACACAATCCTTGAGCCACAGGCCAGCATACAGCA